CAGCCCCCAAGAAGGTGGATAACATGGTAGGAACTACCAAACACCTCTCAGTCTTAATGCTCAATATTAATGGACTTAACTTTCCAATTAAGTGACAGACTGTCTAGTTGGATTAAAAAGCAAGATCCTTCTCTCCACTGCCTTCAAGAGTCACACCTTGCCCATAAAAAAAACATATTTTGAAAGTGAAAGGCTGGAATAAAATCTACCAAGCAAAAGGCCCCCATAAATAGGTGGGAGATGCAATCCTACTATCAGATAAAATAGACTTCAAATTAAAATTAGTGAGAAGAGAAAAAGAAGGTTGCTACATACTAATTAAGGGATCTCTCCTTCAGGAGGATATTACAATTCTAAATATCTATTCACTAAACAATGGAGTACCCAAATTCATCCAAGAAACACTACTTTCCCTCAAATATCACATAGAACTAAAGACATTAATTGTTGGGGATTTTAACATACCACTATCCCCACTAGACAGATCAAAACAGCAAAAAATCATCAACAGAGATACCACAGATCTAAACAACTGCACAGATCAACTAGATTTAGCAGACATCTATCGAATATTTCACCCAGCACTATCAGAATACATGTTCTTCTCAGCAGCACACAGAGCATTGGCCAAAATAGACCACATTTTAAGGTGACAAAGTAAACTTGTAAAAATTCAGAAACATTCAAATTATGCCCTGCATTCTCTCAGACCACAAGGGAATAAAATTAGAACTCAACACCAAAAGCCACCAAAGTCCTATAACACATGGAGGTTGAACAACACACTGTTGAACCACTAGTGGGTCATGGAAGAGATTAGAAAGGATATTCAAATATTCAACAAAATATGTTCAACATATTCAACAAAAATGAACACACAAATTACCAGCTCCTCTGAGACACAGCAAAGGCAGTCCTCAGTTTATAGCTCTGAGTTCCTACATCAACAAATTGGAGAGATCTGAAACCAACAATAATGAGACATCTGAACCTCCACCTCCTTGAAAAAGAGCAGTAAGCTAAACCCCAATCCAGTAGACTAAAACAAAAAATTAAAATTAAATCAGAATTAAAATCCAAAAAAACAAAGAATCAACAAAACAAAGAGTTGGTTCTTTGAAAAAATTAACAAAATTGATAGACCCTTAGCAAATCTTATCAGAAAAAGAATAGAACACACCCAAATAAACCAACTCAGAGATGAGAATGGAAACATCATCACAGAAACAACTAAGATTCAGAACAGTGTAAGGGAATAGTTCTCTAATCATTATGCTAATAAATTAGGGAATCTGGAAGAAATGGACAATTTCCTAGCAAATATCGACATACTGAAACTAAACAAGATGAGTTAAACCAACTTAACAGGCCCATATCACGCACTGAAATACAAACAACAATAAGAGACCTCCCATCTAAAAAAAGCCCAGGACCGGATGGTTTTACAGCAGAATTCTACAAGACCTTCAAAGCAGAGCTCACACCAATACTCCTCCAACTCTTCAATGAAATTGAAAGTGGAAGTTCACTACCGACCTCTTTCTATGAAGTCATCATAACCCTCATCCCCAAACCAGGCAGAAACTCATCAAAGAAAGAGAATTATAGACCCATTTCTTTGATGAACATCTATGCAAAACTTCTCAACAAAATTTTGGTTGACTTCAACAACTCATCAAAAAATGATACAGTATGATCAAACAGGATTCATGTGAGGGATGCAAAAAGCTGGTTCAATATACTCAAATCAACTAATATAATTCATCACATCAACAAGAGCAAGGATAAGAACCACAAAATTATCTCAATAGATGCAGAAAAAATATTTGACAAGATTCAACACCCCATTATGATGAAGGCTCTGGAAAAATTAGGAATCCATGGAACATTCCTCAATAAAATTAAGGCTGTATATCACAAACCTACAGCCAGCATTATACTTAATGGCGAAAAACTAAAGTCATTTCCTCTAAACTCAGAAATGAGACAAGGATGTCCATTCTCTCCATTTCTCTTCAATTTAGTATTAAAATGCCAGCTACAGCAATAAGACAGGATGTAAACATAAAGGGGATCCAAATAGGAAAAGATGAAGTCAAACTCTCCTTCTTTGCAGATGACATGTTCTTGTATTTAAAGAATCCCACGGACTCCACTCCCAAATTACTTGAGCTGATTTGAAACATCTGCAAAGTAGAGGGTATAAAATTAACCCTCAGAAATCAATGGCATTCCTGTATGCCAACAATGAGAAGAGTGCGGCTGAAATCAGGAAAACAACTCCTTTCAGAATAGCCCCACAAAAAATAAAATACCGAAGAATTAACTAAAGTGAAGGACCTCTATGATGAAAACTTTAAAAACCTGAAAAAGGAAGTCAGAGCAGAACTTAGGAAGTCGAAAAACCTCCCATGATCCTGGATTGGAAGGATCAACATTGTGAAAATGGCAATATTTCCAAAAGCTATCTACAAATTCATTACGATACCTATCACTATTCCAACGCCATTCTTCAATGAAATAGAAGAAGCAATCCAAAAACTCATATGGAACAATAAAAGACCCCAACAGCAAAAACAATCCTTAACAGAAAGAACAGTGGTGGAAGATTATCAATACCAAATTTCAAACGCTACTACAAAGCCACAGTAATCAAAACAGTTTGGTACTGGCACAAAAACATACTTGAAGACCAATGGAATAGAACTGAAAACCCAGAAGTGAACCCATAGACCTATAGCCACCTAATCTTTGATAAAGGAGTTAAAAAAAATAGAATGGAAGGGGCTGGGAAGGTGGCTCAGTGGTAGAGCGCTTGCCTTGCATGCCTGAGGCCCTGGGTTCGATTCCTCAGCACCACATAAGCAAAAAGAAAAAAGCCAAAAGTGGTGCTGTGGCTCAAGTGGTAGAGCGCTAGCCTTGAGCTGAAGAGTTGAGGGACAGCGCCCAGGCCCTGAGTTCAGGCCCCACGACCGGACCCCCCCCCCAAAAAAAATAGAATGGAAGAAAGCCTCTTCAGTAAATGGTGCTGGCAAAACTGTCTATTCATCTGTGGAAGACTAAAGCTAGATCCTTATATATCACCCTGCACCAGAATCAACTCCAAATGGATTAAACATCTCGAAATAAAAGCAGACACCCTGAAAACATTACAGAAAGGAACAGGAGAAACCTTACGTCTTCTTGGTACAGACTGAAATTTTCTTAATAGAGGCCTAGAAACACAGTAAATCAAAGGAAGGTTGGACAAATGGGATTACATGAAGCTCCAGAGCTTCTGCATGGCAAAGGATAAAGCTAGCAGGATCAGTAAAAAGCCCACCGATTGGGAGAAGATTTTCACTAGCCACACATCGGATAAGGGTCTCATATCTAAAATATACTTGGAACACAAAAAATTAAATCTCCCAACAACAAATCCTCAAAGAAACAAAACTGCCTGATTAATACGTGGGCTAAAAACTTAAAAGAGAGACTTCTCTAAAGAGGAAAAATAAGAACGGCCAATAGACACATGAAGAAATGCAATTCAAAACAACATTAAAATTCCACCTTTTCCCAGTTAGAATGGCTATAATCAAGAACTCTAATAACAACAGATGCTGGAGGGGATGTGGCTAGAAGGGAACCCTACTGCATTGTTGGTGGGAGTGCAAACTTGTTCAACCACTTTGGAAAGTAGTATGGAGGTTTCTCAAAAGACATCACATAGAGCTCCTCTATGACTCAGCAATCTCACCTTTGGGCATTTACCAAAATGATCACAAACAAGAGCATACTAGGACTGGGAATGTGGCTTAGTGGCAGAGTGCTTGCCTAGCATGCATGAAGTCCTGGGTTCAATTCCCCAGTACCACATAAACAGAAAAAGCCAGAATGGTGCTGTGACTCAAGTGGTAGAGCACTAACCTTGAGCAGAAGCAGCTCAGGGACAGAGCCCAGGCCCCAGGACTGGCAAAACAACAACAACAACAAAAAAAACAAAAAAACAAGACCACACTAAAGCTACCAGCACAACTATGTTTATTGCAGCATTATTTACCATAGCTAAGATATGGAACCAACCCAGATGCTCCTTAGTGGATGAATGGATCAAGAAAATGTGATGTGTATTTTACATACACACACACACACACACACACACACACACACACACACACGGATCAAGAAAATGTGATGTATATTTTACACATACACACACACACTAGAATTCTATGCCTCCATCAGAAAGAATGGCATTGCCTCATTTGTTATGAAATGGAAAGACTTGGAAATAATTATACTTATTAAGTGAAGTAAGCCAGGCCCAAAAAGACATAGGTCCCATGGTTTCCCTTATTTGCAATAACTAGGACATGTGTAGGAAAAGCAGAAAAGGCCCAAAACTATGTACATATGACCATATAAGATAATGTTAAGGGAAATGAACCCTAAGATAGGAACAAAAATATCTTTTTTCTTTCTTGCTATTGTTTCTAACGTATTTATAATATACTATGTGATTTTTTTTTTTTGTTGCTTTGTATGTTCTTCCCCCACGGTATAACCCCTATTTTCACTGTATTTGATGTCGGTGTCCTGCATCTTATATATACACTTGTCTAATTCGGGGAGAGAAGGGAAAAAACAAAAAATTTAAATGAGAATACAGGTTCACCCATTGTAACAATGAGATGTACAAAACACTGTTGAAAACAAACTTTTCAACTTCGGAGGGGGTGATAGGGGGTGGGAGAGGTAGGAGTGGGTGGGTAGTTGTGGAGGTGGGAGCGAAGGGATGATGGTAAGGGGAAAATAAAGGTGGCAACAATGCTCAATATACTCATTAACTTGCTCATGTAACTGTAATCCCTCTGTGCAAAATTTTTACCATAAAAAACATACAAAAAAATAAAGCAAAATGATCATATTTTGCTTTAGCTAATTCATTCAAGAAACAATGTAGTACTTGTACTGTATTATTCATTCCTCTTTCATGTGATATACAATACATCACTTACCCTGCTTTCTTCTAGGCTATCAAATGGACCTGGTGGGTCATCCAGACAAAGAAATTCTCTCACTGCAAGGCTTTTCAAAAGTTAAAAAAGAAAAGTTAGCTGGCATACAAAGAAGTTTACAAAAGATAGTAAAAAGCAAAAATTACTTTGAAGCTACAGTGTTTTAACAAGTTGGTTATGTGCCAACTTGGAAGTAACAAATTTCAAATATCAAGTATAGAAGATGAAAGTATGTTAAGCTATTATCTAAAATCTTATGGACATAAATAAAAACTACAAGTAGATTGTTACATATAAGCTACAGGACAAAAAATATAATTCAGCATGATGGAACAGGAAACTAACCTAAGTTATGAATTACCTCTTTTTGACTTTCAAAGAATTGTTTGCTCCAATTAGTTTAACAAAGTCATTGTCTTATTATGAACAAATAGAATTTTAGATTATGTGCTACTTATGTCTTCTTTGGTAGATGTTTGTAAAGGAACTGAAAAAGCATCTAATCTGAAATAATGTTAAGATTATCCTTGCCATATTCATTGTGTTAATTTACTTGAACATTTTTCAGAGGTAGTTTAATAGAAAAAAAATGACCCTCCCATTTTTGTTGTACCAAGAAATTGAAAATAATGAAGTATTCTTGTTACATTTGTACATTTTAATACTCAGAAGTAGGTTAAGAAGGCAGGTAACCAAACTTCTAATAAAAATATCCCACCTCTTCTTCAAAAGCAAGATTTGGTCTAAGACAGCTTGTGACAAAATTTAGATATTCAGTATTATTTTTTTAAATTTATATAAGGACAAGATATAATTGATGTACTTCACAAAAAAGATATTAGTCTACACTGAAAAGGAATAGGGCTCGTGGGTTCAGACTGGACCAGAAAGGTTTATGACAGGGATGAGCATGAAGAGATAAATGGGACTTTAAGTGAAATTTTTCCAAAAGAAGAATCAGTATGAATTACTAGAGAAGTAGTGTCAATAAAAAAAGATCTCAAAGACAGACGAAGTTGGTTGGCAATAATGTGGCAGCAAGAAAAACAAGCTGTTGACTATAAAATCTTAACAACATAGTACAAAAGAATACACATTTAGGGAGGTTGAGAAGAGACTTGAGTATTCATCATCACAGAATAAGAAATGGAGAGATATTAAATGCAAACTATCCATAATACAGTTTGTCCTTTTATATGATTTACCCCAGAGTATATCTGAACACTATCAGAGATGGATAATATTCTTCCCCTTTACATAAAGTATCCTATGTGTGAATAAAACTAAAAATTGTTTCATTAAATTGGAATTTTTTCTCCTTGTACCTGCTATTTATGAGGCTTAGTTATGTTTTTTGGTGTCATTTAGAGCTCTTTTGCATGTCAAAAACGTTACGTCTCCAAGAAACAATATTAGTAACAGAAGTACTTCACAGTGCATTGTACACATAGGACTTTTATGTCTTCACAGCCATAATGTGTGGTTAGGATAGCCATTTTCTATGCATTTTACTAATAAGTTCCAAGTTAGAATGAGTCAACACATATATAGTGCAAATTGTAAATGTGTCCTTTTGTAAAAGTTGTACATTTTTTTATGTTTTGGATTGTCTGGATTCCTTGTCCTTGCAGCCCACATCTCTCTTAATTGCTCAATCTGCATGTATTGCTTGTATGTATGCTGGTGGTTAGAATACTGCAATTGGCTTAACAGCATAGAATACATGCACTCATTATTGATAATGGAGTATCTATTACTAGATAAAAAACGAACCACAGGTAATAACTTGTTCTTGGGCTGGAGATGATAAAAGTATGAATGAAACAATGAGAAAACAATTCAGACTGAAAGGAAAACACAGTATATGATGTTTAACAATTTCAGTATATAATAAGCCAATGTAAGACTTATGCTGATTTACACCAGATTCCATTATACTTTATTAAAAAATTATTTTTCAAGATAGACTTTTGCTATGTAGCCTAAGCAGTCCTTGAACTTTTTTTTTTTTTTTTTTTTGAGACACTGGGAATTGAAGTCACGGCCTCATGCTTGTGAAGCAGGTGCTCTAGCACATGAACCACACATCTAGTCCTTTTGCTTTTTAGTTTGTCTTTCAGTAGCGTCTTACAAAAACTTTGCCAGGCTTGTCTTGGAATCATGGCCCTCCTACTTCTGTCTCACATTTTTTTCTCTTTCCCTTTGTTCCTTTTTTCTTTCCTTCCTTCTTTTTTTCATTCTTTCTTTTCTCAGAAAGGAAGCTCTCACTTCTGCCTGGGAGTCACTGTCTAGAAAACCTTATATAGAGTCAATAAATACTTACCAATTGTTTATGTGAATCATGGTTCTGGTTATATATTTTAACATATTATTAATGTACGAGTTATAAACAAATCAAGGAATTTTTAGTAGTACATTAGCACAAATTTAATATCAGTAGGTGCTATGTGGAGTAAATTGAAATCATGTATATATAAAAAAAGTCTTAACCCTTTTGTTGAGTGATGGTAATTCATGCCTGCAATCTTAGCTACTTAGGAGGCTGAGATCTAGGATCATGGTTCAAAGCCAAACAGAGCAGGAAAGGCCATGAAACTCTTATTGCCAATTAGCCACCAAAAAGCCAGACAGCAGTCCTAGAGTTCAAGACTTAGGACTTTTTAGATAGATTCAAGATAACCCTCTAATCTCAATTCGGCCCTAATCTCTGTTTCTATTTGGACTGTGATAATGGATATAGAACTAAAATAACTGGAAAGAAATTTATTGAAGGGAAACTTATCTTGATTTAAAAGGCAAAGATCTGTAACATTCTTTCCCTTTTATTACCAAGAGTTCTGGCTAAGTATTCAAAGAAGCAATTTCAAAGTGGAGACCAGCTGTTTATTTAAACTACCTGAAGAAGGGATCACATCTTTCTGCACTTTTACATCTAGAGAAAATTTGCATTAACACTTAAAACTCTTCCTTTTATTTTCTTAAAAAAATATTTTTCAAAGAGTCTTGTTATATTTTTAACTATTTCCCTAACATAGTATTCTATCTGGTGAACTTTCACCTTATATTTATTGCTGCTTTTCTCTCCTTTACGTTCTTTCATGGCTATGTATTTGTTTACATGTCAGTAATCTTTTTGAAAGATTAGTAATTTAATAGCTAAATGTGCTTTTTATCTGTTTAAATTTCAAAAACAACCCAACTATAAAACCAAGCTTACAATTCATTAAAAGACCAATAAAAAAATAGGTAAAATGCTGTGTGGAGGTACTCCATTATTTGGGAGAATGAGGCAGGAGCATTACATATTCAAGACCAGTGGGGGCAATAGTGCAGGACCTTTCCACAAACAAACAAACAGGTATTAAATATAACCTTGAGGATGAAGTTAATGACAGAGGTGGTCAGGATATGAGGAGATGAGCGTGAAGGACTCACTTTAAGTTTGGCAAAGAGAACCTACTTTAGATACTGATCATTCCTCACAGACACTTTTAGCTCACTGACATCTATAACTATCAGTTATAGATGAAAATATTTGTAATTAGTATACATTTGTAGCCTCACGGTTTCATTGTCATATATCCATACATACACACAGTGCATTTGATTTATTTGATACCCTGGCCAACAGTGCATTTTTACATTTATAGTAGTATTTCATGTGTACATGCCTTTAACTTATGTTGGCTGATAATATCCTGGCCCATTCTTTCCACTTCTAAGTGGCTCTTATTTTTCATGACTCACCTTATGTATTATTCATTCATCAAAGCCTTCTCTGACTAATTCTCCTTTCTCTATTATCTACCAGATTTGATGGTCTTCTGCATACTATCACAGTACCTTGCATATCCTTTACACTGGATTTATTATGCTATAACTTGTATTTTTTAAAGCACCTAAAAGAGAAAAATATCGGTAAATAGAGTATATGTGAAATACTTTGAAAATAGAGGATAGTGGAGTGTGACTCAAGTGGAGTGCCAGCCTTGAGTGAAAAGCTAAGTGAAAGTACAAGGCCCTGAGTTTAAGTCTTCAGCTAGCGCGTGAGCATGCGCGCGGACACGGACACACACACACACACACACACACACACACGAAAAAAGAATACTAAAATCTGGCTGTCCTCACTAAGAATTTCACAGTAGTACATGAAAGTATAAAACAATAGCTACATTTTAGCCATGGCAGATTATAGAATGTAAGACAACCTTTATGTACTTTCAACCTACATAAACAAAATAGACCTATACCATCTACATTTCTTTTAGAAAATCCTTTCATTGAGAAAGTCCTATCACCTTCTATTTGATGGCATAAATATTACCTTTACAGTTCACCTAAAATGCCATTTTTCTAGGAAGTCTTTTCTAATTCTCTCAATAAAAAGTTCTGTATTTTTTTTTCTCTAAAGGAAATTTAAGGACAGACGCTGGTGGCTCACTACTATAACCCTAGCTACTCAGGAGGCTGAGATCTGAGGACTGTGGTTTGAAGCCAGTCCTAGCAGGAAAATCCATTGGACACTTATCTTCAAAGCTGGAAGCAGAGCTGTGGCTAAAGTATACAGTACCAGCCTTGACAAAAAAGCTAAAAGATAGCTCCCAGGCCCTGAGCTCAAGCCACAGTATTGGCATTCAAATAAATAATAAAATAAATTTAAATTTTATCTATTATCACTCTGTCAGGTTTCAATCAGATTTTTTAGATTTTTAAAATTTTATTGTAAAGGTGACGTACAGCGAGTTTACAGCTACATAAGTAATGAGCACATTTCCTTTTGAAATCCTCTTTTGTCATCTCCCTCTCATTCTCTCCCAGTTTTTCCCCTCCCCCCAAGTTGTATATAGGTCATTTCTAACACAGGGTCTGGCCAGTTTTTTTTTTTTTTTAAATAAAACAAGAGAAGCATCCAAATACTTTATGTGGTCATAATGTAGGTACAATAAGTTGTAAATAAATGTTTGTTAAAAAATAAACATCTCTAGTGAATTCTTTTATTATGAAATACCTGTTATTTTATAAGTGCATATAATAGTAATAGCCTCTTAATACATTCAGAATAAGACCCTTATTATCCCTTCATTCTTCTTTTTTTTTTTTTTTTGTCGGTCATGGGGCTTGAACTCTAGGCCTGAGCGCTGTCCTTCAGCTCTTCAGCTCAAGGTGAGTGCTCTACCACTTGAGCCACAATGCCACTTCCAGTTTTCTGATGGTTTATTGGAGATAAGAGTCTCAGACTTTCCTCTTGGGCTGTCTTTGAACCGAGATCCTCAGATCTCAGCCTCCTGAGTAGTTAGGATTATAGGCATGAGCCCCTTCACTTCTTATTTTTCTGCTTTCTGCCCTGTTACAGTTGAAGCTCTTGTCTATTAAGAAATGCTATTGTGCAATGTCAAGCTCTTGGCCAACTTGAAGGCTAAGAAATCACTGTGCTGTAAGTTGTGAAGCACATCAGAAAGGACAGTGAAAGAACAACAAAAACTCCTATGTAGGTAATATTAAATGATGAGTTAGTCACGCAGAGATAGTAATTTTTTTCCTTTTTTATTTATCTGAGCCAAGGTCCACTATGCAGCCTAAGCTGGTCTCCAACTTTGAATCTTCCAACCTCTACCTCCTGAGTACTACGATTTCAGCCTGCAATGTTTAAGTTTTTTATAAATATATATTTTATTGTAAAGATATTGTACAGAGGGGTTACAGTTACATGAGCAAGGTAATGAGTCCATTTCCTATCAAGCATTGTTACACCTGACTTTCTTTTTCCCCCACCATCCCTTTCCTCCCCAATTCCCCAACTCTTCCCCACTCCCCTCTTTCCCCGCAAAGTTGTAAAGTTCATTTTCAACAGTGTCTTATACATCTAGTCATTACAATGGGTGATCCTGTATCTTTATTCAGCATTTTGTTATTACCCTTCCCCTCCCCAAATTAGAAAGAAGCAGGACACCGGAATCAAATACAGTGACAATAGGGGTTATAGAACTACAACAACAAAATAATCACATAGTACATTATAGGTATTTTAACAAGAACCGCAAGAAAGATAAAATCTCTTTGTGTCCCTATCTTGGGGTTCATTTCGCTTAGCTTTAGCTTATATGGTCATATGTACAAAGCTTTTGACCTCTTCTGCTTGTCCTAGACATACACTAGTTATGCAATATTTGACTTTTAAGGACTAAGATTTATTATCAATGATTATAAAGAAAAAAATGTGAATATTTCAACTAAGATACATTTTTGCTACTTAAATAAAACCAAGAGTTCAAAAAAGGAGTCAAAGTATTTGATTAGGTAAAAATACAGTATAGTCATTTAGAGAATAAACTGGGATCATAACTCACAACATCTTTTTTGTTTTTGGGTCTGGTCGTGGGGCCTGAACTCTGGGCCTGGGCGCTGTCCCTCAGCTCTTTAGCTCAAGGCTAGCACTCTACCACTTGAGCCACAGCGCCACTTCTGGCTTTTTTCTTTTTGCTTATGTGGTGCTGAGGAATCGAATCCAGGGCCTCATGCATGCAAGGCAAGCACTCTACCACTGAGCCACCTTCCCAGCCCATTACCACAACATTTTAAACATCAGACTTAAAGGTGTGCTGAATAAGTTATCCAAAGAAATAAAGATGTTGAAATATAAGACTATTTAGGAAATCCCTAGGCTATTGCTGGGTGAAGTAGTGGTATCAAGTGTTGCCTTTCTAGGAAACAGCATCTTTGAAGGATAAAGGAGTAAAGTAACTCTGGTGATTATAAAGGACTAATATGACCTCTCAAAATGGGCATGAGGGTGGGGAGGAAAAATAGATCCAGGACTAGAAAGGCAAGTGGATAGGGATCAGAAATAATCAAAGCATATCACAAAAGGTCAATAGTATTCTAATAGGCTATAAGACAAAAAAAAATTGTATTAAGTGAAGACCCAAAGAAACTCAGACACAAAGAAACTTGGTTGCATGGTTTCCCTCATTTGTAATATCTAGAATATGTCTAGATATTCTTAGGAGAGGATCACAATAGCTCAATAGATATGTGCATGTGGCCATATAAAATGATCTTTTATCAAAATGAACTCCAAGAAATGGAAACAAGAGGTTTTTTTAGTGTACTGCTTGCAGTTCTTTTTCTTTCCTTTTTCCCCTTTTTGGTTTATGTTCTATTGTAACTATGTTTGATTTCTGTACCCTTTGTCTTATATATAAGTTTATCTGATTTGGGGAAGTGAAGAGGAATCACAGAAATGGTGGGACAATGCGCTACTTACTAGACACTATGTTAGAAATGAACTTTATAACTTGGGGGGGAGGGGAGTCGGTGGCAAGTGGTAGAAAATGAAAGAGGGGGTACCACTGTTCCAAAAGAAATGTACTCATTACCTTACTTATTTAATTGTAACCCCTCTGTACATCACCTGCACAATAAAATTAAAAAAGAAAAACTGGAAAAGGAAAATCCAGCGGCTAAGGTTTCTATGATAATTACAACAGAGATACTCTCTTGGACTAGGTTGGTAATGGCAGGGATAGAGTAAAACAGATAATCTGGTGGAATGTAAAACATAAAGGAAGGAAAAATAGTGAGGATGGCCAGGTGCTGGGGGCTCATGCTTGAATCCTAGCTACTGGAGGCTGAGATCTGAGGATTATGGTTCAAAGCCAGTCTTGGTAATTAACCACCAATGGTAGAGTGACAGCCTTGAGCAAAAACGCTCAAGGACAGCATCCAGGCCCTGCGTTCAGGCCCTAGGACTAGAAGACACACACTACATATACACACATACACACTAGTGAGGGATGTGTGAAAGAGGACACGAAGATGCTAAAAATTAGGGGGAAATTGCTTAGAGACTATGCTTTTGTTTTAGGTTTGATGAAACTTTTGAGTATCGGAGGGAAATGTCAATGAGAGACCTCACAGTACATACTCCTTCAAGTATGTAGGGATTCAGGGTTCTAAACAACTGAAGAATGCTTTTGCAAGGTGGGTGGGTGGGGTAGAAAGGGATGTTACGAGGCAAAGAGGTGGACATGAGCAATTAGGAGGAAATGCCCTGTTTAAAAGATTCCATTCTTAAACCCAGATGGCTAACATTCTGGACAGATTTCATGATTATGGTCTTATATCCTCCTTATAGATCACACTCTCTGCATTAGGGCTGGGCATGTGTTTCCCGAGTAAATTACCTTTTACTGGAAAGTGCTAAGCTAGAAGGGGCAAAGAATATCAAGTTCACAGGCACCTGTCTTTATCAAAACAAGTAAGAGTTCCCAAACTACTAAGAGGCTGTCAAACCACATGAAGAGGGTCGGGGTAGGGCTTTAATTTTGAATCACCCAGTAATGCCACACTATTTACATAGTAAAATGCTCTATACTTTATTTTTGGTGTCAGTCCTGGGGCTTCTGATGGCTTGGGTGCTGTTCCTAACAAGGCTAGTACTCTAACACTTGACCCAGAGCTCCACTTCTGGCTTTTCTGGAGTTTAATCAGAGATAAGAATCTCATGGCTTTCTTTTTAGGGCTAGCTTTGAACCAAGGCTCAGCCTCCCAAGTAGCTAGGAGTACAGGCATGAGCCAACAATGTCTGGCTCTGCTCTCTACATTTTCTTTTCTTTTTTGTTTGTTTAAGGCTAGTGTTCTACTGCTTTGAGCCACAGCTCCATTTCTCCTTTTCAGGAGATTAATTGGAGTTAAGAGTATCATGTACTTTTCTGCTTGGGCTGGCTTTGAACTGCAAAACTCAGATGTCAGCCTCCTGAGTAACTAGGATTATAGGCATGAGCCACCAGTGCCTGGCTGCTCTCTACTTTTTAAATCAAAGATTTTTTTCAAGAAAAATTTTCCAAAATTTATCTGGTAAAGTGAGTCTTCAGATGAAATAGTTAATTGTAATTATTAGCAATTTTCTTTCATTTAAGGTAAAAAAGAACCCCATATGGATCTTTTCTTCTACATTTTCACATCACACTCTATATAAATAACACAACTTCTACAACTTTCATATTTTTACATTATTTTTGAGTGATATTGTAGTCTGAAACATATTTAGTGTCATATTACCCAAAAGATGACTAATATGTAAGTCATTGTGTTCAAAGGATTACTAGGAAGCTAAATCCTAAAATCAAGTTTACAGTTGGGTAGTTTGAATATATGGTACAATGAATTTTTATCTTCACTAACTTTAAAATTTTTAATGAAAAACAGATGCTAAAATCTTCCACGAAAGAAAGAAAATCCAACGTAGTGCTTTATTGCAGAAGATAAGTAACTATACTACTATTTTACATTATGTGCTTAAATAACTATAGTCCCAGATTTACTCTTAGTTTGTCAGTTGTTAGAATGCTTTTATAATCTCTTATTTCACTTTGTTACATACCAGTTAGCAATGTCCTTGTGAGCTACTAAATTTTGAAGAAATGCTTGCAATCCTAATTGTCTGTCTTCTAAAAAGTCGACATTGTAATTATCTTTAAACCAACGCTTTGGCGGAAGTGCTAATCGAAAGCCTGGAAACATTTCCTTTAACTGAAAAAGAAAAAAAAAGTTTAAGTCAAATAAATTCTATAAAGTCTATCATGTTGAGTATGTGAAATCATTCATGAAATAAACTTAAAATAGTCAAGCTTGGCTAAGCTTTTTATGCCTTGTTTTATGTCTTGATTTCTATTAGTCCTTTGTACCTAGAAGTGAGTTCTAGTTGCTTCACATCCTTGCCAAATCCTGGTGGTAGTCATCTTCTTCCTGTTTAATATTTTGAGTGGATGTGAAGCAGCACTTCATTGTGGCTGTAATTTGCATTTCTCTACTGAAAAACAATGTAGAAAAGCTTCTTTCTCCCTATCTTTTTTTTTGCATATTTTCTCTTAAATTACCTGTCCTAATATTTGATTAGAACATTAAAAATAATAGGACTTCCATTAAAAATAACAGAACTGTCTTTATATGTATTACAAATATATCCCCCCAGATAGTGGCCTGACTTCAAGTCATGCCAGAGCAGATATTTTAATTTTTAGTTTATCTAATCCAACCATCCATTTTTCCTTTTCTAGAAACAGAAAAAATAATTTTTTTTTTCTTTTTGGTGTTTTAAGACAGGTTCTCACAATGTCGCCCATGTTAGCCACCTCATGTTATTTAACATGTTTGCAATGAAAATAAAGTAATAAACACAAGAATGAGGAAATTCAGTCTTTTTATTAGCTTGAGGCTTAACAACTAAATGCCATCTATGTTCATTTTTTTTTTTCCCCTTAAAAATTATCCAATGAAAAAGAAGTGAAAATTCCCCTAGAAAAACAGTGACAGTCAATCTCAGGATTGAGATTACAGATAAACTGAGATTAAGGGTAAAATAGTTCAGGACAGAGCAATTTGTCTAAGGAATCAGACATGTCAAGGACTAGCACTGAACTTTCTATTTTGATGACTAAATAGGAGGAATTAATCACCTGGCCCTGACTGAACTAATAGTACCACTTCCTTGCTTCTTATTCTCTGCTGGCTGGACTCTTCCACTCTCACTATCCAGAATCATTCATCTTTGACTGCTGTGACACAGAACTAAAAAATACTGACTTCTCCAGAAGAATTTATAAAAACTCACTCTTAAGGCTAAACCAATGCATCTCCCAGGCCACTCTCTAACCCTAATGCTGCCATGATGCCTCTGTAGGTAAGCCCCACGTTCTAGAGCTCCCTCAGCAGACTTCCAGACTTTGGAGCCATACCTTAATCCAGGAGATTGAAAAAAAATGGTAGGATTAGTGATTAACAGAGAAATTTCCCTTTCTAACCAATATTGTTTGAGCTATGTTAAGTACAAGAATGTCCTGAAAGTACTTGTTTCATTAGTATTTCAAGATTTAACTTATAGATACCAAGATTTTACTATATATGTAACTATTATGAAAGAACTATAGCTTAACCTATGCATATGCCTAGAGTTGACACACATTTTTAATCTTGTCAGCAAAAGTAGGTGATGGGTACCAGTCTTTCTGGTACCTAGTATAGTCCTTCATTAGTCATAGTTTTGTTTCCCCTGATTTCAGAATCCCCATGATCAACTGTGGTTCAAAAACTATTAACTGAAAAGTTGTGTAAACAAACAATTCATAATTTAAATTAAATTTAAATCACGTGTTGCTTTGGATAACATGATGAAATTTCATGCCATCCTGCTCTGACAAGGTGCCAATCATTCCTGGATACATGAATCCACATTGAATAAGCTGTCACTTAGCTACCCTCCTTGTTTTATCTTATTATCATTATAGTGTAGTACCTGTGATCAAAGAACCTCTTATTTGGAGGAATAATATTATGAGCTGTTATAATGCCATTTCCTTCATACCATGTATATCCCATGTAGGCATTATGTTATTTCTTATCTACATGACTAAATATTTAAAGTGTTACCTATAACATGTCAAATCATGTAAAATTTCTAGTGTCCTTTGGGAAAATGTATACTTCCAATACTATGTAATACCAGTTAAATACCTGTCAATTTGACAGACATAATTTCTTACTTTTGTTTTTTTTTGGTCGGTCCTGGGGCCTGAACTCTGGGCCTGGGCACTGTCCCTCAGCTCTTCAGCTCAAGGCTAACAGTCTACCACTTGAGCCACAGCGCCACTTGCAGCTTTTTCTGCTTATGTAGTGCTGAGGAATCGAACCCAGGGCCTCATGCATGCAAGGCAAGCATTCTACCACTGAGCTACCTTCCCAGTCTGATTCTCTACGTTTCTTAATGTGCTTGTGGTATTACATGCTTTCATATCTGTTGGTCATTTATATTTCTTCTGTGAAATAATGTATTCATATTCACTGTTTGTTTTTTACTGTGGGGTTCACTTTTTAATTTTAAGGGTTCTTAATATATTAGGGATTGTTTTTATCCTATTCTAACTGGCTTTCCATGACTTTTGTGATTCTGTTATGTTAGAGCAAAAAGATTTTGCTGCTGCATTTAAGTTCTTAATCAGTTGACCTTAAAATACAGGGATTATCCTGGTGAGTCTAATATTATCACTTGAACCCTTGGAGTATTTTCTCTGGCTTGTGGCAAAAGGGAAAGTTAGAACCAGAAGGACTTAGGTCTCTGTTGCTGGCTTGAGATGGAAGGGCCAAGTATAAGGAACAAAGATCAGTTTCTTTAAGCAAAGAATGATCTCTGGCTGACAGCCAGCAGGGAAATAGCACCCTGGTTCTACAACTTAAAACAGCTAAACTCTACCAACAACCTCAATGAGCTTGGATACTGATTCTTCCCCAGAGACTGGAGATAAGAGGAAACTCAGACACAAGGTTGACTTTGAGCTTGTCTGATGATCCTAAAAAACCAAACCAAGGGGAATCCACCCAACTAAACAAATGGGTGTTATTTAAACTAACAAGGTCTGAGATAATGCTTAAAAGAAAAAACTAATATGTTATTTTTTTGTTCATTCTTTTCTAGTCATTTTATAATAATTCAAGTGATACAATTTGCACTAAAGTAATTGTGATCTCTTCCATAAAATTAAGATAAATGTAGATGATTTTAATACTGTTACACTGAAATGAAACAATTTTTAAAAACTTATCCGAAGATTTGACTTGGCACAACTAATAAGGAAGAAAAGGTACAACTATGACAGACATAGGAAGCAGGTAAATAATTTATAAAAAGACAGTTTGTATTAAAGGCATTAAAGTACTTACTTTGTCATTAAGCCTAGAGAAGTCAGTGTATCTCCGGAAAACGACCCAGCTTTCTTCTGGGGCTTTCTTTACCAATATTTTGTACACCTGGGGTGAGAAGAGGGGAGAAGGGAGAGAGAGAAGAGAAAGGAGACAGAGAAAGAGACACACACACACACATACACAGAGAACACAAACTATTAACAATTATTGCAAAAAAAATCAGAAATTATTTAGATTATTCAATGTACAGAAAATTAATGGAGGTGCAGCAACAGTTCTTAATAGAACAAATTTGAGATTTTTTTCTATGCATAATAATAAACTAATGAGCTTCAATAATGTTTGTCAACATATTCTAAAATTGAAATAAGAATCACGCATGTTTGAACAAGCTATAAAAATAGCTCTTTTTGTTCTACATAAGTAATTTAATTTTTAAATCTAATACCAAACTAAATTCTCAAGTAAATTCAGAAATATTTAAAAATTATACATAGTAGATAAAAACTTTCCATTTCTGTAACTATGTGTAATTATTTAGGATACTATGTAGAAAAATTCAGTTGAAGCAAGCCAACATCTTCAAAAAACATTAGAAAAACAGTTTGTTTTTTCTTTATGAGCTGATCCTGAGACTAAACTCTAGCCCAGGTGCTGTCCCTAAACTTTTTTGCTCAAGGATAGCACGCTACTAAAGAACCACAACTCCACTTCTAGCTTTTCAGAAGTTAAATGAAGGTAAGAGTTTATGGACTTCTCTGCCTGGTTTGATTTTGAATTGAGATTCTCAGATCTCCTCCTGAGTAGCTAGGATTACAGGCGTGAGCCACCAAAGTCTAGCCTATATTTTATTTTTTAAAGTATGAGTAGCTGGGCGCTGGTGGCTCACGCCTGTAATCCTAGCTACTAAAGAGGCTGAGATCAGAGGATCATGGTTCAAAGCTAGCCTGGGCAGGAGAGTCCATGAGACTCTTATCTCCAATAAACCACACCAGAAAATCAGAAGTGGTGCTGTGGCTCAAGTGGTAGAGCACTCGCTTTAAGCTGAAGAGCTGCGGGATAGCGCCCAGGTCAAGTTCAAGCCCCAGGACAGACAAAAATAACTAAATAAGTGTGAGTATAAGCAGGGTATCTGTGGCTTGCACCTGTAATCCTAACTACTCAGGAGCTTGAAATCCAAGGATGGCAGTTTAAAGCCAGCCTGGGCAGGAAAAGTCTGACTCTTATTTCTAATAACCTGGCTGGAAGTAGAGCTGTGGCTCAAGTAATAGAGTGCTAGCTTTGAGCACAAAAACTCTAGGCTCTGAGTTCAAGTTCAAGCCTCAGCTCCAGCCCCAGCTCCAGCAGACAGACAGACAAGACAGACAGAGAAACACACATACACAGATAAACAAACATACACACAAGTTTATGTTTAGAATTTAATATGTGGATTTGTTCTTTAAGACAACATTTCAAGAGAAGCATATGCTAATAGTCTGTTATAGGATTATATGTAAGCTAAAATATAATCTGCTGAATACTTTGCTGAATTCTTTTCAACAGCTCTACAGTTGTGCTTATCCACATGAGACTAACGGATACTTGAAATCTGAAGTCCAAAATGACATGTAGTGTATGTGCAAACCATACTCTGGATTTCAAAATAGGGTGAAGATACTATGTAGTTTTTAATTAAAATTATTTTATACTGATTATACTTTGAGATATTTTAGATATATTAAATGAACCAAAAAATCAAATTAAAAATTACAAATGTGCTGAAGGGGTAATTCATGCTTGAAATTCTAGCTACTGAGTAGGCAAAAACTGGGAGAATCATAGTTTGAGGGCAAAAAGTTCGTAAGACACCCCCCAATCTCAACCAACTTGCTAGATATGTTGGTTTATGAATATCATCTCAGAGATAGTCATGAGAAAGTAAATAGGAAGATTGTGGTCCAAGCTGGCCTGGGCATAAAACACGACATGATATAAGAAAAATAAGAAAAAAAAATAGAGGTGTATCTCAAGTGCCTAGTAAGTATAATAAGTTTTTTAAGTATGAACTCTAATGTTGCCCATATATATGAATATGTGTATGTGTATCTGCATGTATTTGTGTGTGTATTACAAATGTGATTCAGCCAAGAATAGTAGTATATGCTTATATTCAAGCCTCATGGGAGGTAAAGTAGGAAGACTGAGGTTCAAAGGTCAGCTTTGGCAAAAGCAAGAGATCCTATCTGAAAAAACAAACTAAAAACGAAAATACTCACAATTAAATGTGAGCTGGTTTCCCCCCTCCACACACACAAAATAAATAAAAACAAAACGAAAATACTGGTGAATGTGGCTCAAGAGACAGAGTGCTTACCTAGCACCAGCAAATGCAAAACCCTGAATTCATTCCCCAGTACTATCAAAGAAAACAATCAGATGTGTGACTCATACTTGTAATTCAAATTATTCTCCTATTGGACAATGCTGCTATAAAGATAAATCATTATTTAAGAACTGTGAACCATCCTTGCCATTTGAATTTTTTCCTCTATGGACTATCCTTTCAGCTTTTAACTAGAAGAATCAGCAAGGGTATAGTATCAATCTTTTAGAAGTGAAAAACATTTACCTTTGTAAAATATAAGGATGGAAAATGAGATGACTAGGATACCTTTTAAAGAATGCAAAAAAAGTCTTGATGCAAGAAAGTCATAATGAGGACACAAAAAGATTGAAGAGATAAATTGATTCAAAATTTCTGAGAATGACTCATGAATAATAAAAGTCAATGGCATATGATAGTTAGATTTAAACTATCAATAACATATATTGATTTTGTTTTCCTATTTTAGAAAGTAGCCCCCTCTTACACACACTAAGTGATCTCTTCTGTGGCCTGTGAAGAGTCTTATTTTTCTAAGAAAGAAAGAATATTGATCTTTGTATCTTACTTTTTCTAAAAAGTTCTTTCTAACTTTGTATTCAGTGTTTCTAATGAAAAAGAATTATATGCAGTACTAATCATTTTATATTCTAATAGCAGCTATTATTTCATTTGAAGCTTAGCTGTGAAGTCCTTATTTATAAGGTATATAAGGTATATACAGAAGGTTTTTAACGTATATAGAAGCATGCCTGAAATTATAAAATATATATGGAAAAGTACAAAGTATAATTTTAAGTGTATAACTTGATACATTACATTATCCCTTGAAGACCCTCTTGTTGCCTTTCAGATCCTAATCCCCATCCCTCCTAGCCACCTTCAGTTTCTAACTATCCCCCTTAAAGACTTAACAATGTGAAAGACAAGATCTTAACAGTCTAAATTTTATTTATTTAAGCTACCAATTCAAAGGTTGAGAGATCAGAGAAACAAAGGATCAAAGGACAAAAGATCAAAGGAACATATCTAGGAAAAAAATATTTTGAACATCTAAGGCTCTCAGCTTATTATCTCCACCTCATATCTTTTCTTCAACTCAATCAAGATACATACATAGTATCCCTGTGTATCTCTTTTTTTTTTTTTTTTTTGGGTCTGGTCGTGGGGCCTGAACTCTGGGCCTGGGCGCTGTCCCTCAGCTCTTCAGCTCAAGGCTAGCGCTCTACCACTTGAGCCACAGCGCCACTTCCGGCTTTTTTCTTTTTGCTTATGTGGTGCTGAGGAATCGAACCCAGGGCCTCGAGCATGCAAGGCAAGCGCTCTACCACTGAGCCACCTTCCCAGCCCTCCCTGTGTATCTCTACACACATATAGGACTTTGAAACCAACTAGGCATTTCCAATGCATCATTTTCAAAAACAAATCCTCATCTACCTCAAAAATCTGCCATCTGATTAAACAGTAATCTTTACTAGTCTTGTTGACTTTGCCAACTTTGAGGCCAGCTTTGACTTCTTTCAACATTCTACTTCCAAAATATTAGGAATTTTACTTTCAGAATAACTTCTTGAAGCCTCTTAATCATCCTAGTCTATGTCATTCTGCCTCCCTGTATTATTTCAGACCTAACTGCTTCCTGCTATCAAAAGTCCTCATATTATCTAATCTCAGTTCAGCAGCCAGAATAAGCCTTTTAAAATATTAAGCCATATTACATGATTCTTCTTTTAAAATCCTTTATAAATATTCCCATCTTACTTGGAGTATAATTCAAAATTCTAAAGATGTGAGCTATCTGTGTGCTACAATCTGTGTAGCCTGCCTTTTACCTACCATCTTAGACCTATCCATTTGCTTATTCTGTCAGCCATAAGAGTTGTTGAACCTGTTCCATCTACATGGAAAGCTCTTGCCTCAGATAGTGCCTATTAGTATTAACATTTTTTTTCCCTGTGAAATCATGACTGGCAACAATATTTAAATCTTTGTCTGTCATTTCTCTAAAGTGGATACCAGCAATATCTTTAGTTATCATTTATTGATTGATTCATTTACTTAAATTGCCAAACTACCATCACCAGAAAGAGTAGTAATTGAAAAAGCTGAGTTAAGGAACATATGAATAGGAGTACTTTTATCTTTTTACATCTTCTTCCATAGTACTATCAAGGAAGACTATGGATTCTTCTACGTCATGCAAGACACCTATATTTATATATTACTGCCTTACTTACTTAATTAATTACATATTACTGCCTTATTAATTACTGCCTTACTGGCTACAAACTAGCATTTTCACACATATCACAATTTAGTCCATTTAGGCTACAAAATACCATAAATCAGATACTTCATATGGAATAGAAATAAATTTTTTTCACAATTCTAGAGAGTGGGTAGTCTAAAATCAAGATAATATCAGATTTGGTGTCTGAGGAGGGCTCAATTTCTGTGTCCTGGGACAGGCATAAAGGACACACAAGGGAGCTCTATGGGCCTTTTTTAATAAGAGTACTAATTCCATTTATGAGGGCTCGTCCTCCATCACCCACAAATTCCCTACATCTTAATGCCATCATCTTGGAGTTTAGAATTCTGAGGGGTTGGAGGACATAAACATTCACATAATCATGTTACCTAAGTAATATTCATTCTTTCATAAAGAAGGTAGGTAAATGAAAGGTAATGAGCCATTACATAATTTCTAAAACTGTTCTCGAAAGGAAGTTTTATGTAGTTTTTCTTCCTTATAATAATTTTAAAGACTATCTCTTCATAATTTGGGTCAACATTTTTCCTTAGAGGCTCTCTCATCTTGGCATAAACTGGTGGCATGACATACTAAGACAAACTAAGTTTACTAAAGAAATTCCAAAAACTAAACTCTTTGAACTAATGTTAGCAAGGATAACATACATAAATGTACATAGGTCAACATACAAGGTCAAAGTATGTAAATTAGTAATGAACAAATAAAAAAAACCCCTAAGAAACAAGACCCATATCCAAAAGTAAATCAAACTAAGAGGAAAAAAAAAATCTCTGTATTGACCACCATTTAGAAAAAAATTAAATACTTAAGGCCTAGTTCATATATTAGAAGACAATACTGAAAAGATATCAGCTCTCTTTGGACTTATTTACAGATTTAACCAATCTCATCACAAAGGTTCAAGAACAGCCAAGTCAATCATGAAGAAAACAAAGCTAGAATACTTAAACTGCTGGGTTTCAAGACTTATAATGAAGGTTTACTAATTAAGGCTGTGAAATTAATGTGGGATAGAAAAACAATGCAGAAATAGAGGTATACATTTATAGTCACATGATTAATGCGACAGACAACATTGAAAATGCAGAGGGATATGTGTTGTTAACATTTTTTTCTCATTTTCAAATTGGTGTTCTTTTGAACTTGCTTTTTAAAAATTTCATTTGTGCTGTCATCTTCAAATAGATGTACAAAGGGATTTCAATTTAATATGTACATTTATGCATACAACGCAGTTTGATTAGAGTAGCACTTTCCATAATTCTCCCAATAGTGATTCTTTTAAAAGCCTGATTAATTGATCTCAGCAGTCTGACCCTTATGTTATACCAGTGACAAAAAATAACTCTGGATGATTTACAGATTTAATGTGAAAGACCTAACTAAAAACTTAGAAGCTGGATGCGTGGCTCATGCCTGTAACCCTAGCTACTCAGGAGACCGAGGTCTGAGGATCACAGTTCAAAGCCAGCCTGGGCAGGAAAGTCCATGAGACTCTTATCTCCAATTATCCATCAGAAAACCGGAAGTGGCACTGTGGCTCAAGTAGTAGAGTGCTAGCCTTGAGCTGAAGAGCTCAGAGACAGCATTCAGGAGCAGGGTTCAAGCCCTATGACCAACCAAAAAAACCCCAAAAAACAAAACAACAACAAACTTAGAAGAAAACATGAAGAACATCTTTATAACTTTGGTATAGACAGATTTGAAAAAGTGGTAGTGAAAGCTGGGTTCGGCAGTACATGTCAGTAATTCTAGCACATGGGAAACACAGGCAGAATGGCAATGGAAATTTTGAAAATTTGAAAACTGAAAAGTTGAGAGCAAACTGGGCTACATATACCCTGCCTCAAAAAAAGCAATATAAAAAGTAGCCATAACATATTAATAAATTGGAATAGTAAAAAAGATTTTACCAAACATATTGTTAAGAATGTGAGAACTGTAATGCATGTATCCCAAAAAACAATAAAAAACATTTCCACAATGCATAGAAACTACAAATAAAGACAAGGAAACAAACTGAAAAATCTTAAACAGATTATCTCACAAGGTATTATCTAAAAGCTAAAACTTAAATTCTTAGCTGGGTATCAGTGGTTCATGCTTATAATTCTAGCTATGCAAGAGGCTGAGGACCCTGTTTTAAAGCCATCTTGAACTGAGACTCGTCTCTCCAACAGCTGGAAGTGGAGCTGTGGCTCAAGTGATAGAGTGCTAGCCGTGAGCAAAATTGCTTACAGACAGCATCCAGGCCCTGAGTTCAAGCCTCAGGACCAGCAAATAAATAAAATAAAATTATTTCATTAGTCATAGGAAAATCCAAAATAGCACTGAGATATTCTAAATAACTAAACTAAAATACAGGAAATGAAAAAAGAAAAACACATGTTGTGAAGATGAGGAGCAACTATAAATCACATGCACTGCAGTGGTACAAGCACTATGGAACACTTCCATTTCTGTCTTCTAAAGCTGGGGGTCATAATGCTGAAGGAAAGAGACTAGACTCAAAAGAGCAATTCCATTTATATAAAGTACAAAATAGGCAAAATGAATCCAGGCTATCAGAAAAGTATTTGGTGAGTGAGTGAGTCTGGACTGGCAGATGGCACAGGGTGCTTTCAGATGTTAATAATGTTCTGTTCTCTTGATATATGTGCGATTGCATAGGTGTGTCTGTTCTGTTCTCTTGATATATGTGCGACTGGTTTGTGAAAATTCATTAAGGTAAAATAAAAGTTTATTATAGATAGCATGAGAGATTTCAAGGATATAACAATAAAAGTATGTTCAAGGAACTCTAAGTAAAGGTATATATCAATTAGCACAAGTTTAAATACAGAATTATCCAGTCTTTCACTTTCCATTGGTGTACAGCAGAAAGCAATACTTACAGTAAATTTGGCTCTTTCTTCCATCACCTCATAGCCCAGTATAGTAGGTGTAGATGGTCTGTCTTCCCAATTCACTGTTTCAGGATTTTGTTCTTCAGGTTCTCTTGGTCTAGCAGAATACTCAATGGAAGAATCAGTTCCTGTAAATCTAGTTCTAATGAGAGGACTGCTACAGACAGATGAAGTACTATCCATTCGATCAGGAACACTTGTCTGTTTAAAATTACCCATATTTGAGTCTTGAGAGTTTGAGCTTGTTGAGACACTGCCAAAAGAAGAACTTCTCTGATTTCTGTTGTTTGTAAAACTGGAAGCAGAGTTTCCTAGGGGCATAGGAACTGGAACATAAGGAGTTGCCATCTTCTTTGGCCTTTGCAACAAAACCTGTATTCTGCAGAGTCCTAACACTTAGACAACAACTAATATGCAATCCATTGTTTCTTTCCCTAGGAATTCATTATCTAAAAATAAGAAAAACACAATGAAAGATTAATAGGGAGACTAATCCAAAGCAAACAGAACATTCTTTTAAATTTGTGATGCTCTATTAATTTGTTTCAAATAAAAACAAACATGAACCCCTTCCTTTAATATCAAACCATTTCGAAGGACTCTGGTTTACAAGATAAAGAATAAAATGATTCCACATTCCTTTTCTTGATCCTCCTGCTGCTCTTATCCCATTTTTTTATATTGTGAAGGAGAGACTTGGTCCTAAGAACCACAAAAGAGGATTGTGTGAGGATTGGATTCAATCCCCTATAGGAAGAGGGAGAAAAGTAGCTTAGAATGAGAAAGAATGGCAAAGAAGCTCCTGAAGCTTTATCCTGACAGTGTTGTATACAGTATTAAAAGGCAAGAAGGTAGAGGAAAATTATTCATCGTTACCTTTTAGGTAGTTGAAACTCTTAAGGATTTATAGATAATACCACCAATCAGTCAGAAGCTTAGATACTGGTGATATCTAACAATTGCTTTTAAAGTAACATTTAGCCAGGGTTAGATGGAGGTTGAGAGGATTGCAGTTGGGGGCTGGTCTAGGTAGCCAAGTTCATGAAACCCCTTCTTAACCAACAGCTGGGTGTGGTCGTGCTGTCATTTAAGCTATGTGAAAGGATCAGCTGGACAGAAAAATCTGTGACACAGTCCACCTTAGAGGAAGAAGCTGGATGTATTTGTATGCAACTTTCATTCCAACTACATAGAAAAGCAAAAAAAATAATAAAATAAAATAGGAGGATCACAGTCTAGTGCAAAAAAACAAAAACCAGTGCAAAAAGGAGTGGGGTATAGCTAAGTGGTAGAGTACCTGCTACTCTTGTGGGTGAGGACTCCTGAGTACAAATCTTTGAGCCTTGTCCCCAAAGTAACAATTTGTAAATTTAGGATCAAACATATTTAAAAATTAACCTAATCAAACTACTAAAACTCAATGAAGAGTAAACTTGATAATAGTTTGCTTTGTAACCAAGAGAACATTTAGCAAATCTTTGTAATTCATACTTGATGTTATTAAAAGGATTAGAGTATTGTACCAGAATAATTTCACAACAATACAAAGAAGTAATGGTTTAACCATTAGGCTGTTAATAAACTCATAATCAATTAATAGACCACAGACCAACCAAACAGGACTGCACATAGCAACAATGGGTCTGCCTGGCCAATTTTATCCGCGCAACACCTAGGGTGAGAAATGTAGGATTTGGAAAGATGCTGAAACTGAATTTTTTTTTTAAACTCAGCATGTGGCTCTGAATAACCTTCCCTATTATCACGGATTCTAGAAACTGAGGCTCTGCCTGATGGCCTCTCCTCACTTCCTCCTCTTCCTACGCCCCCCACCCCAAAGTAAAATTTAAAAAGTCGAAATCTCTACCTTCTCAACGTCTGCGGGATGACCTTGCCCTCCGCCACCTGAGGTCACCAGGCCAGGGGAAGGTGGCATATCAACACAACCACCAACTCCCATCGGAGGGGACACTGTCTGAACGTTCAGAAAACGCACTGTGCTCCTTAGGAGGGCCTCTACTTTGGTCCTCCCCAGGAGATGCTCCAGGAAGAATCACCTGGGCCTCCCCTTGGGCAGGTGAGGTACTCAGACGCTAGGCGGTGGGCACAGACCGACCCCCTGGGGATATGGTCAGGGGGAGCCCGGGCTCCGGCCTCAGGCTCCGTGGGCGGCAAAATCTGCAGCTCTCGGTGGTTCCCGGGGGCGGAGGCCTTAGGGTCTGCCCTGGCCGGGGCGGAGCCAGCGCTCCAGACCGCGGGCGGAGTCCGGGGGTCCCGTCTATGCGGAGGGGTTCGGGGCTGGGGAGAGGTCCCGGGGTGTCTCTTCCCCTCGACAGGTGCTGGTGTCCCGGCACGCCCGCCCGGGGTCCCCCGCCCGCCCGCCCGCCCGGGGTCCCCCGCCCGCACGCCCGCCCGCCCGGTGTCCCCGCACGCTCTCCCGCCCGGTGTCCCCGCACGCCCGCCCGCCCGGTGTCCCCGCACGCCCGCCCGGTGTCCCCGCACGCCCGCCCGGTGTCCCCGCACGCCCGCCTCTCAGTCCGTACCTCAGAGCACTCCACCACCAGGCTCCAGGGCGCTCCCCGGGGGAGGTGAAGCCGGCCGGTCCTCAACCGCAGCTGGTCGCCGCCTCCCACGGCACCGGGATGCCACACGTGACCCTCAGCCCCGAACACGGCTGCTCCTCACCTCCGCCCGCCACTGGGCCCCGGTTCCCGGCAAGTGGAGGGCGGGCGTCCGGAGTGCCGCTCCGGAAGTGACGCCACGCCAGGACGACCATCCGGGAGGCGCACAGTTGAAGTGTCCGCTCCTGGCTCTCTGGCTGGGGGTTTAAATCGAATCCTGCGGTAGGAAGTTGGCACTTCTTTGTGGTAGCTTCTGGGAAATCCGGTGCGACGAGTAGTTTGCCCAGCAATTGACTAGAAGACTTCATTTCCCAGGAGGCACTATGGGCGACGTTAGCGTGGACTCTAGCTTTGCATCATGGGACTTGTAGTCTCCACCTATTTGGGCTGGTTCTGCTAGGTTATTGATTATTTTCCAGAATTGACAGGGCCTTAAGGGATAGCGACTGATTGGAAGAGTAGGCAGACAGAGCTCTTCACTATTGTCTATTTGCCTTATGTAATTCAAAAGTTACAGACTTTTGAATTGTTGAATTAAAAAATATTCTGGGGAGTAATTTATCCCAAATGATTAAATAAATAGACTGATTACACTTGCTCATATGAAAACTCACAAAGTTATCAATCACGACATTCTTTGATAGTTAAATATCAAGATTGAGATAAGTCTACAGGCCTGGTCATCCTAGGGTTTAAAGGTCATTCTATTTAAAGGATTTTATGGTCATTCTATGATTTAAAGGTCATTCTATGATTTCTAGGGCTTTGGAGCATTTCTGAGACGGAAAAATGAGAGTTAATGCAATAAGGAAAATGTGTCATAATAGTCTGCTTGGTTTGTGAACTAACTGTTGGCCTTTAAATATAAATGAAACATAAAATTGTGTTCTGTGGGAACTGGGGATTGATTATAGATGTTATTTCATGATATACTTGGCAGTATTAGCTTTGAACTAAGAAAAACATCACATAGTACATTAAAAACAACAACAAAGAAAAACCTCTTGTGTCCATATCTTGAGCTATGTCACTGAATAAAAGTAAAAAAAATCAGAGCAAAGAAAAATGAGACTTTAAAAATTTTTCTCAGGCTGGGGAAGTGGCTCAGTGGTAGATTGCTTGCCTTGCATACATGAGGCCCTGGGTTCGATTCTTCAGCATCACATAAGCAGAAAAAAAAGCTGGAAATTGTGCTGTCGCTCAAGTGATAGAGTGCTAGCCTTGAGCTGAGGGACAGTGCCCAAGCCCAGAGTTCAGGCCCTACCACTGGAAAAAAAATATCCTCAATCATTGACAAGGTTGTTGATGGCAGTGTAATTGGAAATGCTGCAATCTAGGCAAACTGTTACCTGAAGGAGAGATTCCCCAAGGAGGAAGAGGTTTCTACCTGGTCCTTGAGTACCAAGTTCATAATGTTAATCCTCTGCCTCGAGTTTTTAGGACACACCAGGGTAGAGACAAAAAAATTATTAGTAAAGCATAGCAAAAGAAGGACAGTGCATGACTTGGACATGCATATCTGATAGCAGATGCAAAACAGCTCCAACATCACAGATATTTATGGTAAAAGATTAAGCTGGGAGGTTTATTCAAATTTTCCAGAGGATAAATGCTCCCATTTTATTTGACACTTGGTATATCTTATCAATATTACAATTACACTGTTTTACCAATTGTGCCTAGTGATTTCAATAGTGATCAATTTAGTAAATTTGGGGGCATATGACATAAGATGTTAAAGCCTTTCTTCTAGGGATGGGGAAACATTTTTTTTTTTGGCTAAGAGCCATTTGAATACTTATAACATCATTCATGGGTCTAGAATGAATCTCACATTGACAAAAAGCTCCTAAAGTTATTGAGTTTTGAGTCCCACCTGAAGTTGCCTTGGCTATGTTTAACTAAATGATTTCTTGGGCTATAGCCCTGCAGACCAGAAGTTCCTCACCCTAATGAGTTCTTCCAGATGGTTTATTATGACAGGTTTCCATCCTTGAGATGACTTTTTTACAAACACTTTTTATGGAATGAAATCATTTTTAAGAGTTTTTTCCCTAGCTTACGTGTTTTTCTTTAAGATATCATTTCCAGGTTTCTAAAGTATACTAGAAATTATTTGAGCAAGCAGACAAGGTTGGAGGAAAGACTCTTTCAAAATGTTGAAGCTTATGAGACAGTGTAAAACCAAAAGGAAAGAAATAGCATCTTGTGCTTTTAGTTGTTATTCATTAATACAGTATCTCTGAATTTGTGGCGGCTGTTTCCCATGTCTCATTTTATTCTGATCTATCCTGCCTGAGTTCCAAAAAGAAACCTGTAGTGAAGAAAATCTGACAATTGAATGCATAGGAAGGCAGGGAAAATATTTAGGAAAAGAATGAACAAGTACATTCATACCTATTGAAAATATGAATCTACAAATACCACTGTTATAAGGAGGATAACGATCTAGAAAGGGGAATTTAAATTATCCAAGGACCATTGAATCATGTACAAATTATTAAGCAAAGAATAACAAAATCTATACACTACATGTTTTCTGGCATTGATAAATATTATTTCTTCAAATGATTAAACAGATTCAGTAACCAAGTTTGAGTAGTCAAGTTAAAAATATCACATTACGATAAACCATATTTTATGGTTAGTCACTGTTTGTACAATTTCTTTTCTTCAGGTCTGAGCTGTCTCATATAGTGCCCATAATCAAATTACATTGTTTGAGTTTAACTTGAAGAATAACATCAAGTTGTTTTTATGCCTCATTACTATAATTTTATATAGATTATATATCCTTCAACGGACATTTTGAGTTTACCTAAGGCATAAATTTATATAATCATTGAGTGGTATAGTAACTGGAGTTGGTGGAGGAGAAAAGGGAAGGAAGAGTTAAAAATTATAGCATAAAATAAAGCATACATATTGAGTAGAGATCTTTTGAATGGTTTCCTAGATTCTAACACTTTTTCTTTCTTAGGAATTAGTCTCTCTCCTATACTGTGGGGCTTTTCATCATAGTTAGCTGAGCCTAAGTAGAACATTTGAATAAGTTATTTCCAACAATGGTTTTTCCTAATAGCTAAATTTGGAAATTGTATTTCCAACAATGGTTTTTCCTAATAGCTAAATTTGGAAATTGAGGAAATAAACCAGTTGGAAATCAATAGACCTGAAGTCAGGCCAAAGAAAATTCTGTGATAAGGCCTGTGAAGTTCCACAGCTATTTCCTCTGAAATTATTAGATCCTTTCCTTTTCTCAAATTTCTCCTGAACTCTTAATAGATAACCTAATGGTCTTTCAGTATATTAGCATTTTGCTTAAATCTGTCCAGAGTTAGTTTTCATAACACCAAAGGGCAAGAAATACAGTAAGTTGAGGTGATGTAAACTGCAAATGAATGCTAGTAAAAACTACTTCCTATCTGTTCAAATAGTTGTCAATTATTCATAAACATTCATAAACTAAGATTTTAAAACAAAGCGTGGTATCTTGTGATCTATCTGCTTATGATGTGAAGAAACATTTGCTCAATAACTTACGAATAAAGTAAAATTAATTTATCAAAAATAATTCCATTAATTATTTTGGTTTAATTTTATAGATTTCCAAATTCATGCATATTGTTTTCTATAGGTAGTGTTTCTTTAGCTTTAAATTTAGGATCTGCACTCTATTTGCCCTCTACCTTCTCATCGTCATGAATTATGATCCCTGAGAAAGAACCACAGTGATCTATTATTAGAGCAATGAGAGGTAACCAAAGTCGGTAACATGGCAACATGATAGCTCAGTTTATCTCAATAAATCTGTGACCTATCCAAGGCAGGAACTACATGATGTGTATAATAATAGAGATGGAAGCACATTAAAACAGCTACCATTGATTAGTGAGTTTTGCTTATATTACACCAGGAAAGTTTTGAAGCATGTATAGAAATCCTGCTGGAACATAATAATACATAATTTCCACAAATAGCAGTCATAGTCTTAGAACTAACAAAGCATAATGATCATAAAGGGCGTAGGCTGGACCTTCGAATAGCTATACTGACAAGACACTGGTTGACAACTCATCTCTGACCCCGTTCCAGGAATTGTGGTGCCTCTCACATTATTAACACACATAATAATATCTAGGCCAAGTGTTTTTTGCTTTCCCATGGACCATTAGCTATTTGTAACATAGTTCATTCATCCTAGCTATAGCTCACTCTGTTTTTTTTTGGTCTCGGAAAATGTTATCCTGTGCTTGTTCTATCCCCAGCTTTTTGATGGTTTTTATGCTTCACTATCTGGCATTTGTCTGATGTTACTTTAATTTTCCTTGTTGAGAGAGGGGAGAAATATTGAGAAGAAGTTGACAAGGCAAAGTACATTTTTAGAGCACAGATTAGGGTCATAGTTGAGAGAGGACTATCCCAGACAGAAGGGCATAAAGTATATTAATCAGAAATGTATTAGAATGAGACACTGTTGTTTGTATCTATGAAAGATTATAGAAACGAAATTTGAATTTTTATGTATTTGTGAAAACTAATGTGGAAAGAGATGGTAAAGTCTCAGCTCTAAGGCACTGGCACAGGAATTAAACATTGTAGGAATATTGTTAAATATTGATAAGCACTGATGCTGATAAGCCTTTATTGTGAGCATAATTTGAAAGTTTATTTTCCTGTAAATGTGCCGAGACATTGGAAGTTAGGGAGATTCAGCTTAGTAATTGACACCTCTCCAGCCCTCTCTTCATGATCAACTGTCCTGAGTGAGGAACTTCTAGCATTCAACTAAGTTGCCAGCACTGGCTCCTTTGAACCCCAAACAGGACCCTAACTCTTGCCCCAGGAAACAGCATGTGCTAGAGTGTTTCTACTACAAGCTTCGGTGAACTTTAGATGATACTGCAGCCACTTCTACCCTGGGCAGAGGGGAAGCTCTTCTTAGTGGCTCAGTAGAAGATGAACTTGGTGACTAGCACAACATAGCCCTTCCTTTGCATAAGGGATATCATGATGGGTACAGATTTCTTTGTCATACCTCTTTTCTGCTTTGATGAGCATACAGGAAATATCATTGTTTGCTGCCCTCTGGTGTTTCTTAGCAAGTCTAATAAAGACTACTATTTGGTGGACTTCTTTGCCTAGGTTTGCTTCTTATTATTAGTAGAA